CGGCCGCGCGGCGCCCGCCATGCAGGCAGCGGCAGAGCGCAAGCGCCACGTGGCACTGACTGCAGCCCTAGCGCGGCAGGATGTCTCGCTCGGCCTGCCCAGCCCCGCTGAGGCTGGTGCTGTCCCTGGCCGCGGCAGCGGTAGCGCTGGTGCAGTAGCGGTGACAGCGGCAGCACCTGAGGCCGTAGCAGCTGCTGAGGGCCCGAGCAACGCTCTTGGGGCGCCTGCAGCGTTCCTGACTCTACAGCTGGCCGCGCAGGCACAGGCACTGCGCCAGGTGGTGCAGCAACAGGAGAAGCAGATGCGGCGGCAGGAAGAGCTGCTGCAGAAAGTGGCCCAATCCACCCAGCAGCAGCAGCAGCAGCAGCAGCAGCAGCAGCAGCAGCAGCAGCAGCAGCAGCAGCAGCAGCAGCAGCAGCAGCAGCAACAGATTGGCGCGCAGCCAGCAACAATTGCGCCACTGCCAGGACCTGGCAGCAGCGAGCCGCACGGTCCCACCCAGTGCAGGCCGGACGTTTTGTGTGCAGCAGTGGCAAGTGCAGGCGCACAAACGGAGCTGCCTAAGGCGGTGCGTGACTCGTGGCTGGTGCGCTCGCTTTTGGGAGGAGCCAGCCAGCCTGCCGCCGCAGGCTCTGGCAGCACGGCTGCAGGCCCTGCTGCAGCAACACGGAATCCGGGACAGCAGCAGCAGCAGGAGCAAGAGCAGGAGCAGGTTCCTACAGACCAGTCAGGGCGGAAGGAGGTGCTGAAGACGGCCCTGCGGCAGCTGCTGCTTGGCGGCAGTGGGACTGCAACGGTGGTGCCCAGTGCAGGCAGCCAGGCCTTGGCGAGCGTTCTGCAGGTGTTGCTGGGGCCTGGCGCGCCGCCGCCGCCGCCGTTGCAGCAGCAGCAGCAGCTTGTGGGACTATCTGAGCTGCTGCAAATACAGCATTGGGAGGCGTCCGGCGGCAGGTTCTTTGGTGCAGCAGCCAACCCAAGCGTCGTGGGAGCATGGCAGCAGCCAGCGCTGCTCCCTGCCGCGGCAACAGCAGTGGTGGGGACGGGACGCCGGACTTCCCGCAGCAACCCAGGTGCAGCGCCAAGCGGTGGTCAAGCCATGGCGCAGCAGCGGCGGCAGCAGCAGCAGCAGCAGCTGCAGCGGGACTGGAGTGATTTGCTGAGGGATGAGGGGCCAGAAGTCCAGGGGTCGGGCCGCGGGGCGCGACCTGAGTGGGACGACCGGCCGGTGCCGCCAACGCCGCGCCACCTGCTGCGGCGGCAGAGCTCGAGGGAGACGCCGTGGGCGGCGCCGCCCCGGAAGGCATCCCAACGTGCGTGGGTGCAAAGTTGTTGGTTGCATGGGTTCAAAGTTATTCAGAAGCATGTGCCCTGCAATCACGTGCCCCTAAAGTTTTATTGTACGGCTGTGCAATTGCAGATGTGACAATTGAGTTTGGCAAGGACAACAAAGCCATGCATTCGCCTTCTCGCCGCTCATTCTCTCTCCTGCCATGTTCGCAGCACCTGCAACTCAGCGCAAGCCTGGTGCCCGCGCTCCGCACGGCGGCGCCCCCCGCCCGGTTGCAAAACGGCGGTCGGCCGCGCCCGCGCGCAGTGGCAGGCGCAGCAGCGTGGGCGGCGCCGATGAGGCGCAGCGGGAGCGGGCGGCGTTTGCGCGGGACGCCGAGCGGAGGGTGCAGCTGCAGCTGCAGGAGGAGGAGCTGCAGGAGAGGTGGGCCATTCTGCTGGTTGATGGTATTTCTGCTTGCTCTGATTCTGCGTCTTCCTTATGATTCTCTCAGTTTCGCCTGTCCGGGGGCCAATAGGTTGTATCGTGCATCGGGGCCGTGCTCAGTGGGGCAGCATGCTGCGTGGATGGGCTGCACGGGGAGGTCATGCCAGACGGCCTGCAAATCCAGCTGGCACGAAGGCTGACAGTGGCAATGTGGCAGTGGCCAGTGAAAGAGCGGAGGGCACGCTGCAGCGCACAACTGACCAACGGTCCTAATTCCGTTGGACCCGTCTTGCAACGTGGCTCCAAGGCTAGTCTGCAGCCATGCCACGCCCTCCAAACCGCGCGTGTGCGAAGGCTGCTGCAGCTGGAAGCGCTCGAGGCGCGCGTGAAGGGGGCAGTGGAGGGCCTGGAGGGCGCAGCAAGGCGGGTGCGTGGCGCCGACCACGGGGCGGGCTCGCGTACCGGCGTCCGCCAGGCGCCGTGCGACGGGGACGAGCAGGGCAACGGCGACAGCAGCAGCGAGGACGAGCCTGACGAGTGCGGGGGGCGGCAGGGGCAAGGCGTGCCGGCGAGCCGCAGCGATGGCGGCATTGGCCGCAATGGCAGCGGCGGCCGTTGCGGTGGCGGCACAATCGCGGACGAGGAGGTGCTGCGGCAGGTGCTGCTGTCGCTGCAGCGGGTGGAGGCTGTTGAGCAGGAGGTCGCGGCGCGGTGGCTGGGAGGAGGCGGCAACTCATTGGAACACGAGGACGACGAGGGCGAGGGTTGGTCGGCGGGCGCAGCTGGCGGTGGCCGCGCCTTCAGGCTTGACAGCAAAAAACAGGAGGGCGACGACCTCAGCCTGCGAAGGCGTGCGCACGCCTTGGCGCTGAACAAAACCGCCCCGCCGCGTGCCGCAGCACAGCAGCAGCAGCAGCAGCAGCAGCAGCAGCAGCAGCAGCAGCAGCAGCTGTGCGCAGACGCAGCAGCATGCACGGCTGTCAGCAGCGGGCAGGATCCCATCAGTGATGGGGCACTGCGCTCAATTTTGTTGGGCCGCCGGCGCTTCCTGCGCCACCAATCCGACGTCGACGGTGGAGCTGGTGGGCTTGCCAAGCGTGCGCCCGGCGGGATGCGCTCGCGGGCCGCGCCCCCACTGCAGCCGTCGGCGGTGGTGGAGGCTGTGGCGGACGCGCTGGTCGACGAGGCTCTGGCTGAGGTGGCACGAGAAATGGATGAGGTTTGCGATGGGGTTTGCGACGCGCTGTTTGAGGCCGAGTTTCGGTGAGGCCGGGGTTTCGCACTTGCAACCCTGGCTGTCCAATGCGGTCTCAGACTGCCTGGCTTGCTCTTGCCGCATTTTCACGGAGCCGGTGTTGCTGCAGAGTGCGCCATTAAAAGTAGCACATGGTTCTTGTCGCAAAACGCACACTGCAGCGTGTGCACGGCCAGCGATTGGCCTGCATCGTGGGTGCTGGCGAGTGAAGTGGGTCGGCCAGCGCGTGGCTTGCGACTGTATTGTCTAGCTCGCATGCTTTTGCATGCCTGGTGATCATCTTGAGACCTTCAGGCGTGCTGCAAGCATGGCGCGGGGTAAAGGAAAGGGTTTGACCAGCATTTGACCAAGAAGGTCAGCAGATGGCAAAGGCGGGCGGGCCCAATGCCCCGTTTTGGACAACCATGGGGATCCCAGCAGTAAGCACAGCACCAGCACATTTCCACATCTGGCTTCAGCGCTGACTCGTGCTGCTGAAACAACCTGCCTTCTGGCAGCCGAGCCCGCGGTCATGCAGCCCGCGGTCATGCAGGAAAACGCATGTGTCGTCGCTCGGCAGCTGCTGCCGTATTGAGACACATCTACGTAGATGGGGGTGAATTTTGCCAGCTTCTTCTGCTTTGCAGCCAGTGCAAAGTCGAGCGTACAATCTCAGCTAGGATTGTGTGCTGAGCGCCGTTGATTCTTTGTAACGACGTCAGTTGGGACGGAGATACATGTCTTGGTATGCATAGAACCAACCTATCATAGATCATCATTACCGTAGTCGATCTGGACTGTCAGCCTTTTGAATTACAGACCTGCTGTTCGCAGGCCATCAGACTTATATTGTTTGGCAGTAGGTAGTGGCGCTAAAATAGCGGCGTGCTCAACAGCCATGGCCGCCGACTCGGCGCAAGCCCGCCACACAGCAACCCTCTTCGTACTGGCGCTTTGCTTCGCCAGTCGGCCGACACTTGCCCTGAATGTCCCAGATGTGCTGACATGCAGTCTGGCAATCAGCACTGGCGGCCCACTCAGATCCTCACTGTGCAGCTTCCTGCACCAGAGTGTGCTGCTCAATTTAGAGTGCTGGCAGGTCCTGCTCAGCTGCTTGCTGGCAGCGGCGCTGCTGCTGCGCCTGTTCCTCCTGGCGCATGCGCGCCCTGCTGTCTACATCGTTGAATTCTCCGTTTTCAAGGCTGACCCCAGGTGCGCTGGCGGCGTGCTAGTCACAGAAGCAGGCCGACCTGCCATGGGGTCAGTGCTTCTGAGTCCTTCTCCATCAAATCCGCGAGGCCACCCTGTCATCTGCTCATCACACCGCAGCCGACCGCTGGGCCCTGCCACCGCCCCCTTTCCCGCCCCTCACCCCAGCTGGCGCTTCTCTCAAGACGACGTGCGGCGCTGCGCCGCCGCCGCGGGCGTCGAGCCCGAGGACGTCTCCCTGCTCTGCAAGCTGGCGCGCCGCAGCGGCCTTGGCGACGCGACCGCCGTCCCCCCCGATTCACTGAAGCTCGTCCTCGACAACCTCGGACAGCGCAAGCCGGGCACCGAGATGGCGCGGCGGGAGTTTGAGGCGACCTGCTTCCCATGCGTTGAGGAGCTGCTGGCAAAGACGGGCGTGACGGCCGGCCAGATCGGGTTCGTGATCACGAACAGCAGCCTGTTCAACCCAACCCCCAGCCTGAGCGCGGCCGTCATCAACCGCTTCAAGCTGCGCGATGACGTCATCAACTACGCCCTCGGGGGTATGGGCTGCTCAGGTGTGGTGCTGAGCTGCCTTGTTCTTGTCACTCAAGCCTGCCTGCGGCCATGCATGCCCATGTTGCATGCCGCCACTGCAGCCCAGGCCTGCATCCCGCCTGCTCCATCCCATCTCCCCGCCCCCGCCCCTCACCACGCCCAGCCGGCGTCGTGGCCCTCGACCTGGCACGCCAGATGCTGCAGCTGCGCCCCGGCTCCTACGCCCTCATCGTGTCCCACGAGAACATCACCAACAAGTGAATGCCTGGGTCTCTCACACGCCCCTGCACGCGAAGGGCGCGGCGTTGTTGCACAACAGCCAAGGGGCGCGGCGTTGTTGCACAACAGCCAGCCTTGGCGGCTGAAGAGGTGACCAGGCCGTCGCTCTGAATCTGGAGAGTAACACAAACCCGTGTCCGCGCCTGTGCTGCGTCAAGCTGCAGTATCAACCACCCCGTTGGCTCCCGCACCCCAGAAACCAATTTCCTGTCACCAACCCCGCCCCTGCAGTTACTACACCGGCCGGGACAAGTCCATGCTGCTGCCAAATGCGCTCTTCCGGTCCAACAGCGCCGCAGTCCTGCTGTCCAGCCGCCCAGCAGACAAGAGAAAGTCAAAGTACACTGTCAGGCACATCGTGCGCACCATCATGGCGGCCGACGACGAGGCGTACGGCTGCGTCTGGCAGACCGAGGACCCCGAACACATCCAGGGCGTGCGCCTGAGGAAGGAGCTCATCTCGGTGGCGGGCCGCTGCGTGACGCGCAATGTCGGCCGCGTCGCGCCGCTGGTGCTGCCGGTGTCAGAGCTAGGCAAGTGTGCCGCCGGCGCGCTTGTGCGTGCTGTACTCAGCGCCGCGCCCGCCCGCCTCGCCTCGCTCGCCCCCGAGCGCTGGCAGCGGCCGTATGCGCCCGATTTTTCGAAGGCGTTCGACGCTGTGTGCATCCACACGGGCGGCCGCGGCGTGATAGACTCAATGGAGCAGAGCCTGGGGCTGGGGCGCGGCATGGTGGAGGCGAGCCGCGCCGCGCTCTTCAGGTTTGGCAACACGAGCTCCTGCAGCGTATGGTATGAGCTGGCATATCTTGAGTCGTTCAACGGCGGCCTGCGGCGCGGCGCCAAGGTGTGGCAGGTCGCGTTCGGCAGCGGCTTCAAGTGCAACAGCGCGGTGCTCGTCGCGAACCGGCGCGTCGCCGACGCACACGCCGCGTGGGACGCGTTTGACCGGTCAAAGATGTACGCCCAGCTTGACGAGATCGATCGCGAGGTCGCGGCGTCGAGAGCGCGCCGCGCCGCCGAGAGGGCGGCCGCAGGCGAGGCGCCAGACGCTGGTGGTCCATAAACTTGACTTGACCCGCGCGGCATCCCCTCCTCTGTGCAGCTGAGCGGCCGCTGAGCAAGCGGCTGACGGCAATTCCTTACATTCTAACCGCCATGTGCGGTGCAGCGCGCTGTTTGCTTCCTCGCTTCCCGGGGCGCCAACCCATGGTGACATCGCCTTCCTCTCAATAGCACGGCTTTGTTGACACCACACGGCAGAGTGTGGTGTCAATCCCTTTTCACACTGCGGCTCCCTCCGGCGGCTGTCCGACCAGAGACCATTTCATTCTTCAAATTCAAGGTGCAGGGCTGCGCAACGCACGAGCCTGCACACCCTCACATCTGCAATGAACCCAGAAACGCTCCCCTGACGAGCAAACCACACATGGTGCCGTCACCCTCATGCGCGGCTTGTTTGCACCCTCTCGTCTGACTTACTCTGTTTCTACCCCGTTCGCGCACCTGACTCACTTGTCATTGCGACTCATCCTCCCGCCGCCCGACACGCGCATACCTGTTACCTGCATCCAGTAACCCCTTCGGAGAACACACCGTGTCAAGGGTGCAGCCCCAGGTCTGATACACGATCGGGCTGTCTTGGCAGGCGTACACAAATGCTGCAGAGGTCACACCAGCACAGATGCTTACATCGTGCAAGGGGTGGGGGTGGAGGGGTGGGGCGCGGGGCCAGCGGAGGAAAGCAAGACGTCAATGCCGTGTCACAAGGCCACAGCATGCAGGGAGACTGCGGCGGCTCACGGTCCAATATGGAAGAAACGACTGAGGTGGGTGAACGTTGCTGCGTAAGCTGAATCGGCTGCCAGAACGGTGGGGTGCCTGTTCACGGGGATAATATGATATGTCGGACATTGCGCCAGGAAAGGGTGCGACCGAGAATGCACGGGCACTCCTGGTCTGTCACAGTCAAAAAGCTCTTGATGTCGTCATCGCTCAAGCCTGCATGCCGTCGAGGCGTGCCGGGATGCTGTGCATGTAGGAGGCATCGTATGTTGTATACGACATCGGCGCCGGCGACGCGCCCAGCGGCGTCCCCGCGCCCCCCATCGATGGCGCCGGCGACGCCGCCGCGGCGAGGCCCGCCCGGAACGCGAGCGGCGGGCCGTCGTCGAGCGACGCGCCGCCGGGGGCAGGCGCGTGGCCGGCCGCGCCGAAGCTGTGGCCGAGGCCCTCGGAGCTGAGGATTGAGGTGCCCAGCATCACGCGTCCGGCGACGGCCCCGACAGCGACATACCCGCCGCCGCCATCCGCCGCGCCTGCTGCCGCGCCGCCGCCGCCGCCGCGACGCCGACCGGGCGCAGGCCGCCGATCGAAGCGGCGCGGTGCATCGC